CATTACTTTTTGTTCTGCTTAAACTATTTAGTCTGCTGGGAATCTGGTGTCCCTCTCGTGATTTAGAGTTTGACATACATCTGTAAATCTGTGTTTCACCACTTTTTTCCTCTTTTATTTTCAATTTCATGAATCATGCAACAAAAAAAACACTATTGCACGCAGCGAAACAAAATCAAGATTGTGCCTGGGCCTGACAGCAGATGCCTCAAAATTCAATTTGCCTGGCTTTCGTGGGAAAACAGTGCAGAGATTAGGCCAACTGGTAAAGAGACCATTTAGCAGCATGTTCATCTCCGGGTGATCCCTGCAGATCACATCCCCATGGCTAATGTGCCGACTCAATATAGACCCGGTTTAGACAGCTGTATGTGAGCATGTATTTGCCTGTGTGCCAATAAATTGTGACTTGAAACATTAAAGAGGAAACTTTAAACGCTGAAAAGATTCAACCACTTCTCCCATTCAGGCCTGATTTTGAAATGAATAACACACTTTTATACAGCTTGCCAAATAATAAGACTTTAGTCAGACCTCATGTTGTCTCATGACAACAATGTTGTATTATACTCAGAATTTAATACATGAATGATTGTTTTCCATTCTCTTAAAATATGTGTTGGATTGCACTGTACAAATATGTGAATAATAAGTTAATTTTAGCAACAGTACTTACAGGCAGTGATAGCTTTTTATTCTTGATAAAAATGTTATTGTAAGATTAGGTCAGATAAAATATTTTTTTCTACTTTATAGACCCATCATTTCTCTAAAGGTCAGATATATGCAATTTTTCAGCTTTCATCCATGACCTGTTAAATACAACACATTTGCAAATATGTCCCTGTTCCATCTGGAAGACGAGCAAAAAATATTATTTTCATTAATTTAACACTTCTCAGTTTTACTGGAAAAAATAGTCATGTTCATAATCTGACATTATGTGGTTCCATAGAGTATCCCAAGAACAAGAATTTATCACTTAACATTATGGGCTTGGAAACCATTTCTAACAGAAATATGTAGCAGTTTGTGAATATTTAAACATATTAGTTCAATGTGCTAAATGGTCAGAAGGAATACTTTTAATGGCTTGCAAGAAAACACTGTGAGAGGGAGCCAATTTTGGAATATCAACACTAAAGGCACAGTTGGGAGCCCAGCACTATTTTCTACACACAATTTAACAATTTCAGAGTGACCCCCCCCTTCATTTCAAATGGAAAAGGTCAGCATGCTTTGGAGAGAGAAGAGGACGTGCGGTGAAATGGAGATCCCAGTGCCCCAAACCGACCCCTATGAGGTAAAAGATTCCCCAGACCAAACCCCACCCTGCAAACACTGGCCCTCTTATTAGTCAATCAAGCCCTTTTCTGCATTGCTTTGAAAGAAGCTACATTTCCTTTCTCATGGCGCAGTTTTTCAAGTGGGAAAAAGCCTCACTGGACCACTGTGTATTTGTCAACTTTGATGTTTTCTTTCTAAATTTGTGAAGCTTCAGTGGGAACTTGGAGCGCTATGCATGTCAGGGCACTCACATCTGTTGTGCATTAGGTGCCGGCCGTCAACATTGTTACTGGGGACCTAATTTAATATTTTCTTTGTTTTGATCTTCCACCTTTAATCACTGGCTCTTGGGAAGATCGGCTTTCCCCAAGAAATTGCTCGAGAGCTGAAAGAAAATGTTATTGCAGCGTGTTTATGGAATCATACATGTAAAGAGGGGACTCGCACAAAAAAAGCTGCCTATGTCAGGCTGTAAAGAGAGAAGAATGGATACTTGAGCTGGGGGAGATGTGGGTGAAAACCGCGACATAACTGTAAGCAGTCAGGACATTCCAAACTCGCAATTTCAATTTCTACAAAAGCTGCTTCACGAGGACCGTTGAGATGATATCTGCAGCGCGATGGAGACAGCGGCGGGGGGGAGGAGAGCAGAGGGCAGGAACCACAGGATAGGTTTTGGTTTCTTTTGATTCAGCAACAGTGCTTTTATTAAACCACCAGTTCTAATATCAATGTTTCAGGACATAACAAAAAGCCGGTTGTGCAGAGCTGCTGAGACTGGGCTCAAGTTTGCCTCAGACTGATGGTTGGAGACATCAGGTAAAACTTAGCATCCTGACTCGTTGAGGGAAACGTAAAGTGGTTCTTCGAGGTGACTTTGAAGAGGTCTGTGTTCATGATTTTCATGTTAGGCCAAATACTCTTAGCTGTATAAGCAACACTCATGACATCGAGGGAAGCCATTGTGTTGCCAACTGTAACTGCCAACCATTGATGATGTCTCTGTACTTCAGTGGAAGAATAACATTTGAGATGTTTCCTGAACTAATTTAATGCCAATGTTGCCTTTTCCTGCCAAGTTTCTATGTTCAGTGTCCCATTACAAGATTTAAACTCGTTAAACTTGTTTTCACCAATATATTTAAGCTTATGTGATATTTCCTACAGTTAAATCAAGATTAGTTAAGCATAGTTAAGTCTTTTAAAAGAGGCACTGGGATCAGAATTTCCTTGATGTAATGTAATTACAACCTGAAGTCGAACATCTTTCTAGTGAACCACTATTTTAATTAGAGCAGGATGTCATACGGAAGATTACCATGTCTTTTCAATGTAATTAAAATGAGGAGAATGCTCTTTACTACTCTCCATCACATTGGTTCATTTTCTGCATCACTTTTAAACCCAGTCTCCAGACCTGTAGGTTTCAGATCTCAAGCAGAGTAATTATTTATTTAGATCTGCTCATACAATCATCCATTTAAAGGAGCCTTTAATCAGTCAGCAGTGAACCGTGCCAGAGATGCAGAAATACCTGCCAAGACATTAGATTAATTAGTAAAAGACCAAATGACTACTGTTGAGCCTGAGGCGCTTTTGCTAACAGTGATTTAGAGAAGGTTCCCACACCTTCATAAAAATCCACTTCAAGAAAATTTCTACGACTTCCAGGCCCAATTTCCTCAGATCAAAGAACCCATCATGGCACAGTTTGAAACACGGATCAACATTAATCAATGTTATAACACTAAAGCTGTTCCCAGACATGAATTCCAGTAAATGTCTGCACAATGAGGACCAGTCCTTCACCGGAGTTTGCCTTTCACAAATAAAAACACAGCAGGAGGTTCTTCAGATACAACATAGGAATCTCCCAAGTCTTCAGGTGAGGGGTTGAGCAGCATGCAGGAGGCAGGACGTTATGAATTCTGCTGCAGAGATCATGTGTTTTTGTTTTCAGCACATTGACATAAATGTCCTACCCAAATCTTTCCAAGTTGACATCTTCTTCTGTGTTTTCTACATGTGTGTCACTTCTTTTTCATGCTGAGATATTTGGATTCTTTTGGGTTTTTGCATCCATCGTGTATTAAAAATGTCATCAATGCCCCCGCTCGCTTAAGGTGAATCCTCTGGATAATCTCCTGCTGTATTCTCACATGAGCTTATTTGGACATTAACACATTTTTTTACAAGGGGGCTGACAGGAGAAACTCCAGAGAATGTCTGCAACACTGACTCAGACATTTTAGTTCTCACTTACAGCTGAGATTATCTGGAGTTCAGAGCAGTCCTTAAAGCAGTTTAGGATTTTGTATAACGAGAACAAGCAGGCTTTGGAGAAGTTCATACAGACAACTATTTATAGGCTTGAATGTGTAAAAACTACAAACTCACTTATGTGTGCTATGTTACAGTAATGGCAGAATAAAAAGTAGACTGAGGTCTCTTACACACATGTAGACAGCAACACATAGCCTCTTGCTAATATTATGCCAGAACTTTAATTTCAACCTTTCACAGACTATATAAATGCAAGCACTTTCAATTACCGATATTTTTTTGTGTCTACTTTGAAGGCCTTTTTAAAAAATTCAAATTCACACAACATTAAACTACATAAACATCCGGTGGGAACTGTGCAGTTGGCTCCCTGCGAGATGAGTTAGAGTGACAGGAAGAGTGTATTGAAAGCAGACATAATGATCCAGCCTGATCGTTGTGCAGGTAATGACTGGAGAAAGCGAGGGGAGGGAGTGTTATAAATAACAAAGTTAGAGGGAGTTAAAGCTCTGACTCACTGAGAAACGTGATCATGATTTTCTGGTTTATTGCTCTAAATATTTTGAAGTAAACCAGTGTCCAGTAGTACTCACTCAAAGAGCTTCTGCATAAAAATAAGCTGTGTAAAATTGCAAAAACTGGCACATGATAAACTCAGTGAGCTTTATTCATTGCTGCACTTTGTCTTCTTTAACAATGGCATCATGATATGAACATTTGCTACGTTACTTTTTGTCTTAATATGTTTTTGTTTTGACCTGGCAGAGTTACTATCATAGTGGAAATACTTTAAACACAAACAAGACCATAAGGTTAGTATTTGTCATGTTTAAAGTTGTGAAACCGTTTCTTGAGCATTATCATAGAAATCATCACTGAGGCCATAGTAGTTTGAAATGAGATTAATTAGGTTTCGACAGTCTGATGACGATGCTCGTTGTTAGGTTTGACAGATGTGATTTCTGAGTTGGGTCCAGATAAATCTGACAACTGGCAGATCCCTCTTTAGTGTCTATCTCTACATGTGTTTGAGTGCATCAGACGCAGTTTAAAAACACTAAACTCTACATTTTAATTCAACATTGTTTTCTACAACACAGTAACTTGTGTTAAAACATCCGTGTCCAGCTGTCATCAACTGTGGAGTCAGTATCGGTGCTAGCCCTGCTAGCTAAAGCTAACTCGAGGGAAACACTCACCACCTCCTTCGCCTTCGGAGAGAAGCCGCTCTTTGTCCTGCTCCGCCTGAAAATCTCATCTTTAGTGGAGTCGAAGCCGATTCCTATGGCCTTGTTCCTGGTTTTCACTGTCTTCACACTGGCTTTAAACAGCAGAGTTATATCCACAGCCATGATGTCCGGGCAGCTGTAAACAAACTGACACGTCACCAGGAGACGACGTCATCATCCTGCGACGCGGAGTTTTCCCTGAGACGGAGCAGAAAGCCTTACGTTTTACCTTAAGGTTTTATTAAGATCTCTTCATTATAGCGTCGTTTGTGCTTCATCTTATTCACATCTCACACGAGCCTGGGCTGATAACAAATAACTCTTCGACTTGATTCAGCTCCAGGCAGCGAAAATGATACAATTTCAAAAAAATCTCTTAAATATAATAACTTAAGTTTAAGGAGACTCGAGTGGAAGTTTTCTCTTTGCAGTCAGGTGATCATGTTGAACATTTCCGTTAAACTGAGTCTTACTGAAATCTGTAATTGACATTAATGTGCTGCAAGGATGTGCAAATTGTGCATGTATTTAATCCATCAGATAATCAATATGTGTGAATTTCTGTCTGTCTCTTTCAGATAAAAATGCCTCTACAACTTCTTGAGGGGATGACCAGCAGGAAGAGAAGACCGAACTGGACAGACCAGGAGTGTCTCCTTCTCGCCCAGTTAATGCAGGAGAGGAGGGAGATAATCAGAGGGAAGTGCAGCACTGGAATATCAGTACAAGACAAGAGACAAGCCTGGGAGGAAATCACCCAAGCCATCAACACCGCCTTTCCACAGATTCAGCGCACAGTGTCTGACTGCAACAAAAAGTGGGAAAATCTGCTGGCAAAGTCGAGAGAGGAGATCAAACGACAGAGAAGGCAAGCAGATACAGGTGATGGAAATCTGCCCTTCAATAGCTATAAAACTCATAATGAACATTGTTAAAGCTGCAGTCTGAGACTACCAAAGTCAAGAGGGTGCATGTGTGCATAATATATGTTTCGAATTAAAAGATAGAATACATTTGCAATTCCACATCTGTATTTTTATGTTGAATGTATTATATTTATGATAAATTAATACACACATTTTCTATCAACAGATGAAGGTATGTCCCTTGAAGAGTTCAGCACTGTGACCCAAATAGTGATTTCTGTGATGAACCTCTCGGATATGCTGCAACAAGATCGAGAGGACTCTTCACTGTCAGACTTTGTGGAAACTCCTCAAAACAGGTGAAACATTTGTTATATTTGTGGCTTCTCTCGTGTGCTCAGACTGAACCTAACTTATCTGTAAGTTACTTGTAATTTGTCACTGTATTGTAACTTGAATCTGGACAAATTTAACCTAAACCTAGAATGGCACTCAGTAGAGAGCATACCTCTGCAAAGTCCATACAGTCCCTAAATGAAACCCTATTTTAAAACAACATTTAAATTCACTAGATCTAGATTTTAATTTGGATCTGCACCAAATTGCATAAAAATGACGGAAGCCTAACCTCCTTATTGGAGGTACCCATGCACATGCTTGGAGATGTGAGAAAATATGTCTTTCCCACATTTCAGCTGTGATCAAAATGGAAAGGACCACAGAAGTGATGAAGGTTTCCCAAACAAACGTCCACTGACCGACCACGAGTTCCTCTCCTATCAACATCCATCCACTTCTCCAGCAGAGCAAAAATATTCTGCTTTCACAAATATTCCTAAATCCCTCGCAGTACAGTTCAGTACTCCCCATTCCTCCAACTTTACTGCCTCTGGAGAACACTCGTATACTCCTGGCTCTACTTCTCCAACCTCAGTGCACTGCACAACTTTGCAAGAACGAATGGATTTGGAAATGTCTGTGCTGCGAAGACAAGAGGCTGTCCTCAAGCTGCAAGAGGAATATTACACGCTAAAAATTAAGCTGATGAAAAAGAAAATGGAAGAGCCACTTGAAAAGGACTAACACAATAGTAGAAAACTCAGCTGCATCCTTATGTGACTCTCTGCCTGTGAAATGTGTCTCGTGAAAATCTAATGAGTGTTATGATTTGTCAGTTTTACAGTTGAAATCTGTAATGGTTTGTGTAGTAGGGAGGAGGGAGACACCAAAAACACTTAATTCAGGGTGAAGACTCATTCCATTTTCTGCTGTTGTGAAACTCTCATCAGGTTTGTCCCATTATGCTGAATAATAATCTTCATGTGACCCGATCTGTTGGTCACAGGTAAAATAAAAGTCTGAGGATATTCTGCATCCACCAAGTTCTGTGTTGTTTTGTTTCCAAATGAATGTGTTTGTCAATGACTCAGATTGTATTCAATATTTATTCCTGTACTGGTCAATACAGTATTGTATTTTCTGTCTGTCTGTACAGTCACCCAGTATTGTGAGGATGTTTGAGTGAGGAAATGTTTTTTGTTGTGTTTATCTTCAGTGATTATGACTGTCCAATCTTTGTGCAACACTGTTATGCATCATTACATCTCACAGAATACAATACATCATGTTTGTATTGTAGCACAATGAAAGTATAGGGATTCATTATGTTATACCTCACATTATTACCACTTCGGTGTCATATTGAAAAAAGAAACAGAAAAATTACTGCAGAGTAATAAAATGAAAACTGTTCTGAGTCGTATTTGATTTAAACAAATGTGACCATCTAGAGTAAAGTGGTCCAGTGTAAATCAGTTGTTGCTTGAATACATGAGTACGTTTGGATTGGAAACACAGACCAGCTTTTGATTGGAGCTTATGTCATAAGTGTTGATATATGAGTTTAAAATCCTCTGTGTTGACAGATGACGTGTTAATAAATAGGCTAATGCATCATGCTATATACACTTACTGTAGAATTTCACATACTAAATTGTGTAATTCTTGAAATTGATTTATATTTTGTAGAAAGCATAATTTGTGTTTGTCCTGGCTTGAAATTCCAATTCATTGGTGTAGCTTTACACTGTGAGATATTTTGTTTATTTACTGATTCCTGCCATTTACTCCTAAGTGCAAATTTGAAAGCTGTAAATGTTTGACATATACCAATAAACATATTTATGAAAATTGAACTTGATCCTGCCAGTGAAAGTAAATCCAAACTAATGTCCTGTCTAGACAAATGTAGTTATTTGTGCGTAATATTCCTCATAAATCCATTTATTTGTAAGTGACTGGCGTTGGCACTCAGATCTAAGTGGTGGGGGCCCAGAGTGTTGAATAAAAGTCTGTTATTTGCTGTGTGGTTTGCTCATTTCCTTTGTTAGTGTTGTGCCAGACTGTGTTACAGCTGAGTGCTGTGACTGTCTCTCCGTTTCTGCCGCCTCAGCATTAACTCCTCATCATTTGTTTTTTCATTCACTCTTTCAGCTTTGACTGTGGAAAGAGAGCAGCTATTCAGGGACCAAGGTTATTGGCTCAAACTGAGGCATGATTGCCCTTTTGATACTTAATGTGTTGATGTGAGCTAACCGAGCATTAAAGTTTCCTAGCTTTTATCTTACCACGGGATAAAACCCATTATAACTGAGCTTGCTGCAAGCATGTACTGTACTGGGCTTGAATGGGAAATAGGATAACTGGTTGCTATTTCAATAAAAGATTTTTATCTCCCTATGTTATTTAGTTTTTTACCTGAATATCGGTACTCTGGAAACCCCCAAATATTGGCCATACAGAGGTTACTTCGTCATCAAACATTTGCAATGTAGCTTCTCTGTGCTACTTGTGGTGCATTTGTTTTTTGTGCAATCTCTTGTTGTGTTTTGTGCATTTGTACCGCATGTGTTGAATTTATCTATTTATTTTTTACTTGTGTAGTGTATATATGTGTTTTCTTTGGTCGCAGTGCGTTGAACTCTCAGCCACTGTACATTCCTAGATACGATCTATCCCTCTACGAAGCGTCAGTGATGGTATCCATTCCTCCCGTCTGTGACAGATGAGCCATGTTTTGGAGTATCCTCTGGCCAGTCCACTTAACTGTCTGAAAAGGAACCCCTTAATCTCCACTTTCTCTTTGTTTGGACTATTATCAGACCTGTCAGTCGTGGCTGCTTTATCTTCATAGAACTCATCTATTGGCTGTTTGACGTTGGCTTAATTCTATCAAAGGCCCTTATCTCTGCTTTGCCTGGGGATGCATCCTTCCTCTGACTCACTAGAACAGTCCTGGCTCTGATAAGAGGATCACTTATTAGGGTGAATAACTTGTTGTAAGGGCTTTTTAATACATGTTGTGGCTCATTGGGCTTACCTCATGTATTTTGCCTGATTCAAGTCCATCAGTGTGCTTTTTCTCTATAGGTGCTCTTTATTAATAGGGTGTATTCTGTAACCTGGCCTAATGACACAACGCTATCCCATCAGCCACTGCTGATCCAGATCTGAGATAGTCCCCTTTGATGGCAGTTAGCCTTCTCTGTCTTTTGGCAGTAGTTACTTGAAGCAGTCTGAAGGAATGTTATGCATCTTGATCTGATGAAGAGCAATTACATGGGAGGGAGCTGTTGCCTTTGAGGTGGAAGCTTACCTGCCACACCCTGCAGGCTTACAAATAAGCCTCTGGACATGACCCAACTCTATGAGAATGGTCCATTTTCTTCTTGTCCTTCTCCTTGTCACATATAGTCTGACAAGATCTGTCAGGCGGGGGTAGAGAGGGAAGCCTTTGCCAACGCACTAAATTAACTCATCTAGTTTGTTTTGGTTGGCATTATTCAACGAGACAAATAGAAGAAGCTTTTTTAGAGCCAGGAAGAAACGATATTTGGAGCCTCTGCCAGGATAGATGTCTGACTCAGGTCCAAGTCATCTGAGTTTCTGTCTTTGCCTGATGATGTCATATTAAGTAAGTGAACAATAACAATTAAAGAGTACTATTTCAAGTTACTTTCAAACAAAGGGTGATTAAATAGATAATGCCATCATTTAAATAAAGACTGGATGAGAGTGTGTAAACATGACTATTTGCAGGTGTGTGTGTGTGTGTGTGTGTGTGTGACTGTGGGAAAAAGAATGGGATCTTGTGTGCATCCACACACAGTATCTCTGGGTTCTGTTCTCTATGAGTTTGCATGTCTGAGAATACTTAGATGTTAATTCTTTTTACCACCATAATAACCAGAATCCAGTTTTTGCATATGAATCATAAGCATTGCATGCAAGGTCATGTACATGTGAGTTTCCTGGAAAACTAATCATGGAAAAGACATGCAGCTTTGCTGTTTGGACCAACAAAGAGCTACTCATAGGTTAAGCAGCGATGTTGCAATCACAAATTGGATTTTCCATAATGAAGTTGCTGTTACAAATGCTTAACTTTATTTGGATTAGAAAGGGCATTGCCCATTACCAACAGGCTACAGGCACAATGTCTCTGCTCCAGGGATTAACCACAATTTGTGTTTTTATTTTGCTGGCGTGGTGTCAGCTAAGAAAGGGAAACTTTAGAAAAAGGCACAGTTACAAGGCAAATTACCATTTACCCATTATTTCATTTTGTTCTTTTATTTTGTTCACCACAAGCACAAACAAAATGGTAATTAAGGAAACAACTTTTTGGACATTGAGTTATTGGACTCTGGCCATCAGTGTTATCGTTGTGTCTTGCATTGTTTACCCTTGGCACACAAATCTCTTGGTTCTACATTTCCATCATTTTGAAGGTTGTTTTACACAGCCTGTGGATATGTGAGTTTCAAAAATGATATAATCGTGCCATGGCCACTCTAAAACAGTCCAGATTTAAGCGCTCTGGATATGCTTGACTTGATAATTTTCCACAAGGGTCTTCAGAAATGGACAGCAATTGCCCCACCAATGAAAGGGGATCCTCGCTGTAATTAAAGCCAGTAGAAAATTGGATCATTTTTTGCCTGGACAGCTTTCACATTCCAGCCTAATATGGCATTGGGAGCTTTTGAAGTTGCTGTCTTGGCAGTCCCAAATTATACCTTTCATCAGCCAATCATAAGAAAATGGCAACCTGACATTCCCACTCACAACTGGCTTTTGAGCCACAGTCCATGTAATCAGTGAGGAGTGCATACGAGGAGTGATACCCACTGACAAATCGACTGTGAATACTTGAATTACAATTTCTCTATCATAACCCAGAGAATGTTTTGTTTTTAAAATCAAAGTGACATTTTTACTTGAGCCACGAAATGTCAAACACACTGTACGTAATTATCTTTTTACTCAGTCCTGGTTCAAAAGATGACCTTTTTACTGAACCCTGAGTAATGTTACGTATTGTACTCACAATTTCAAGTCCTGTGTGACGTAAACTGTCTGATTTGTCACCCTAATACTATTTATTACTATTATTAGCTGAAGTCTTTTGATATGATCTATGATCAACATTAGGGCTTTTAGTCCAATATATGTCTGCAGCATCACAGGTTCAGGTCCAGCAGGGGAACTTTGTTACATATAATAAATACGAGAATACATATTTTGCAATAAGTTTTTTCTCTATATGCTCTCTGTGGTGATTGGAATTACAACCCTTTGTTTTTCCTCTAACCAGTGACAGTAACAGTATTAGCCACGAGTAATGTTATAAGTGCTTTCACTGTCATACGCACAATAAATTAATTAGTTCTTATTTTTCTGTGAGCCATGGAGCCAAGGGGAAATGCTTTGGCACACATTATCTGTATTGGTAAATCTGAACAAAACAAGAGCATATTATATAATATGTTATAATTTTAAGTCAGCAAGTTGTTCAGTTCAGCATTAATCACATGTGTAATGGACAATTATATTGCTTCGCCCTCTGAGCTCAAGTTGAATTTGTTTGATGGAGATTCAAAATATCGTCATCATGTTACTGAATCACTTCCTGCAACTTCCTCATCAGTCACCCAGTTATGACTTGACAGATGTGACACAGATGAGCACATTCACAGTGACACAATGGTCTTTGAGGGGCAAAACACTCCATGAAAGAATTTACAGAGAAGGCAGCTGGTCGCCCCATTGCCTCATCCTCACAGGACAGCTGTGATGGTGAAAATGTAATTTGGAGTTTAAAATGACGTATGGGCGTCAGCACAAGTCAGCGGGTTCATCCAGAAAATATATTTTACTGTGAAAACCTTATACTGTGGTAACATAGAAGTACTATGTTAGTACAGAGTACTGCAATTTTCTTCTCCCCAATATAACAGTCTGTAATTGTTATATAATGTTAGTTGACCCACAGCATATAAAAGATAAACTCTTCCTGGTTGACAATTGGCCAGTTGAGGTCAATTTAACGTGCTTTTCTGCAGAGAGACAGTTGGCTGACCAGTGTAACCCTAAAACAATGGACACTATTATACATCCTCAGAAATGTCTCCTGTCCTGAACAGATGCTTCTGCCCAACAACAAACCAACCTCCCCAGACACACTGAAATGAAACATGAACTAATTTGTGTTTGGTGGTTTCTTTCATTCTTAACCCCAGGCTCTGGCCAAGGCCAGGACGTCCGAACGGCTTTGTGTATTTATAAATAGGCCAAGAGAAAAGGGGAAAGAGAAAGGAACCCATCAGATGACTGGAAGCATATGGAACTGGTAGAGAGCAACTCATCTTGTGACAACATAGCACACAGCTCACCCCCCCAGGTCCCCCTCTGTCTCATGTCACAGCCATCCACGAAAGACTGCAATTGGAGAAGGTCAATCGGTGGCCGGGGCCAAGAACAAAGTGATCGTGATTTTCAAAAAGTACATGCAGGATCTCAGGAGGAAATGGTTTTGCCACCAAACACTCAATTACATGTAATTACAATAATTCAACCTTGGAGGATGGTTTATTCCATTTTATTATGAGGTTCGTTCTTTCATGTCTCATGAGGGGAGGGAGGAGCGGGAGCACCATGAACAGTGACTATGTGAAACAGATACTCTGTCCCTAATCTGAATGCTCCCTTTTTTCTCCTTTATGTCCTGCAGGAGTTGACCCCATGGACAATTATTTTTCTCAAAAGTTGATAGGTCACATTCTCCCACATGCTTAACACCATTAACCTGTCAGGACTTTTAACAACAGCGAATGTGAAGGTCAAAAAAGCTGCATAGTAAAATGAATTGGGTAGAAACAATTAGTAAATGAATAATCTTGAATACTGTGGGATTTTGGACTGTTGTGAGAGGGAACAAGCAATATGCATGTGGCAGTTTTGTAGATCACACAATTAAACAATTACTTGAA